GCCAATTTGAATATCCACTCACATACCAAGGCACCTCCACAAGTACTGTGGAAGCCAGATGAGACCACAGTACCTGGTTGTAGTATAACAATAATAAGAAAATATTCATTGAAGAAAGCCGAATGTGAAGGATTGCCCATGTCAACTCTCCCACAGCCCCAAGAAGTACAGTGTGGAGAGAACTGCCTTGTCTCCCACTTGGGAGAGGGAGAAGGAATTAAGTTCAGAACTTAGACTTGAAATACCAGGCTTGGATTTTTATCAACCAGGGCTGGGCAAGGCCCTATGGCATGTATCTACCACTTGTCTTTGGATCCATCTTAACCAGGTGGCCAAGGGACACAACTCCACCACCTGTCCCTCAACCTTTGTCAGACATCACAGAAAGCCAGTAACCACTGGGGAGGAGAGTAGGAAAGGGAATTTAGTAACTTGCCTTGGAGCCCACTGTCCCACCACTGTGAGAACCAGTACCTAGTAAAGCCCAGTGACTTCTGCTCACAGGTCTGTGCCTACAGATGGCACTTCTAGAGTTGTCCTGATCTCAGGTAGGGATCAGTACCCAGGCTGAATGGACTTGTATTGCCTCTCATAAGGGTGTGGTTTGTACTTCTGTGATTCTAGAGGCCTAGGGACTGTGAGAGCTAGGCTGGACTCAGCTTAGTACTAGCTTGGGAGTCCAAGGGGCTGCTTTTATCACCCCTTTCCCAACCTTGGAGAAACAGCAAGGAACCACAGGACTATGTCTTGGGAGCTTGGTTCTAGATCATAATGGCCCCTGTCCTCAACTGGTGTCTGCAGAAGGAGCTTCTGTTCCTACCTGTGAAGCGGAGTCCTGTGACCCAGGTCATCAGACTTATATGACATCCAGCATCACCTGTCGCTGACTGCATCAGCCTCTGGTTGTGAGTCCACTCTAGCAGTAGACAGCCCATAGCGGTGCGGGCTTTGGTCCCAACCCCAGTGCAGCACTGGTCTTCACAGGCCGTGGATTCCAGGTGTGATGTAGCATCATAGGGTTGGTGCACACAGGACAAGCAAGGCGTCTGAGTCTACCTCAGTTCCAAGTAAAGGTTTGTGGTGGTAAGTTACCCCCCTTTAGACATGTCTTCAGTTCACTCTGAACATATCAACTATGGATTTGGTGCAAATTTGAGTTTGAGGTGTCCTCTAAGACTTCAATAGCAACAACACACCAACAGCAGACCTGTGGAAAACCTCAGCTCAGGGAGCCATCTAGTGCTGAAGTAACAGACACATCCACAGGTTTAGAGAAAAGCAGACTGGTTATAATTTGTGGAAGAGAAGCCATACATGAAGCTGGATTATGAAGACGGGGAAAAAACAACCAATCCTTCAATGTGCAGACACTGTCACATGCCAGCAAGCATCATGAATTTTCAGGGCCCGTGACTTCACCTAACAAACGAAACAACTAACTAGGAATTAACATTTTCAAGGGCTGAGATAAATAACTCAAAATATCTGTTTCAAGGAAATTTAATGAACTTCAAAAGAACATGGAAGTGATTAATATTCTGATGGAGAAATGGAAATAATTTTTTAAAAAATCAGACAAATCTTTCAACTGAAAAGTACATTCAGAAATATTTGGAAAATGCTGCAGAAAGAGGCATCAGTAGCAAAACATGCAACTGAAGACTCAGTGAATTTCAAGAGAGGGTATTTGAAAATCCACAGTTGGAGGAGAAAAAAGGGAAAAATAATCAAGGGTAATGAATAAAGCTTAAAGGAACTTTGGGACACAATGAGAAGATCAAATATCTGTGTTATTGGGGTTTAAGAGGGATGTGACAACGCTAAAGGCATGGAAAACATCTTTGAAAATTTCTTAAACCTAGAGAAAGTTACAACTTTCTAGGGACCACTCAGCCAAGTCTACCCCAAGCAATATTATAATAAAGCTCGCCAAGGTTAAAAGATAAAGAGAGAATTCTCAAAGCTGTGAGCCTAAAGAAATAATACACAAAACCATCCCAGCATCCCAGTTTATCTGACTTCCGATTTCTTAGCAGAAACCTTATAAGCCAGGAGAGAGTGATGAGACATTCACAGTACTTTTTTTTTTTTATTTTTAATTAGCCTTATGGTAACCACAAAGCGAAAATCTGGAATAACTTGCCAAATATAATAAGCAAAGAGCCAAACATTATTCGAGAAAATCTCTTAAACCACACACAAAATTTACAAGGTAGGGAGAAAGAAAGGATGTAAAATAAAACTGGAAATCAGGAATCAAAAATGGCAGCAGTAAGACTTTATCAATAATTGCCTTGGGAGTGGATAAGATACAAGTTGGGACACCTGCATCCCGAGTTTGAATCAGCTCGGTTCCAGGTTCCGGCCTCCTGTAAAAGTGCACCTCAGAGACAGCAGGTGATCGCCCAATTTCTTGAGTCCCTGCCACCCATGTGGGAAATCTGGATTGAATTCCCAGCTCCCAGCTCAGGCCTGGACCAGCCCTGGCCCTTGCAGGCATTTGAAGTATGAGCTAGTGGATGGGAACTTTCTCTTTCTCTGTTTCTTAGAAATACAAAAAATTTTTTAAAAATTACAATAAGTTAAAACAGATTAAATTCTCCACATACACACCTATATTCTGTTTACAGGAAACTCACTTCTCATCTAAGGTCACACTGAGATTAAAGTGAAAGAATGAAATAATTTTTATCAAATGGAATCTCTGAAAAAGCAAGGAAGCCATACTTATATTAGATACAATATATTTTATTTTATATTATAAAAGAAACAGATGGAATTATTTTTTTAAAGATTATTTATTTGAAAGGTAGAGAGTTGCAGAGAGGCAGAGGGAGAGAGAGAAAGAGAGAGTCCATCCACTGGTTCACTCCCATGGCCACAACAGCTGGAGTTGGGCCCATCTGAAGCCAGGAGCCTGGAGCTTCTTCCAGGTCTCCCATGTGGGTGCAGGGCCCAGGGACTTGGTCCATCTTCTGCTTTTTTTTTTTTAAGAGTTCCCCTTTCACCACATGCTCACCAGCCTTTGTTGCTCTCCCATCTTTTGGATAATAGCTATTCTGACAGGGGTGAAGTGATATCTCATTGTGGTTTTGATTTGCATTTCCCTGATGCTTAGTGATACTGAACATTTTTTCATGTATCTATTGTTAGTTTGTATTTCTTCTTTGGATTTCTATTTAGGTCCTTTGTCCATTCCTTTTTTTTTTTACTTCTTTTTTTTTAAATTTTATTTAAGGTATACAAATTGAATACATTTCATACATATAGATTTAGGAATATAGTGATTCTTCCCACCCTAACCTCTCTCCCTGTCATGCTTCCACCCTTCACCCTCCTCCCTCTCCTATTCCCACTCTTAATTTTATGAAGATCTATTTTCAGTTTAATTCATACTCATAAGATTAATCCGATACTAAGTAAAGAGTTCAACCTGTAGTGTGAAGAAAAAAAATACTTTTCTTTAATGGTAGAGAAAAGGACTGTAAATAATTGAGTCACAAAATGTCAATGGATTGGTTATTTTTTGTTGTTGAGTTTTTTGAGTTGCTGATATATTCCGGATATTAGTCATTTGTTGGGTAAATTGCTTGCACGTATTTTTTCCATTCTGTTGGATGTCTCTCCACTCTATTGATTGTTTCCTTTGCTGTGCAAAAGCTTCTGATTTTCATGTAGTTTTGTTTTTGTCACCTGTGCCTTTGGAGGAAGGAGTTTCTTACCCAAAAAGTCATCACCTACACCAATAAATTGAAGTGTTTTCCCTATATTTTCTTCTAGAATTTTCATAGTCTCAGTTCTTAGAATTTAGGTTTTTAATATATCTGGAGTTGATTTTTGTATATGGTGAGAAGTATGGCTCTAATTTCATTCTTCTACATATAGACATCCAGATTTGTTTATTTATTTGAAAGGCAGATTTACAGAGAGACAGAGGCTGATATATATATTTATATATGTGTGTGTGTGTGTGTGTGTATATATATATACATATATATATATCTTCCATCCGCTGGTTCACTACCCAGATGGCTGCGATGGCTGGAGCTATGCTGATCCAAAGCCAGGAGCCAAGAGCTTCTTCCAGGTCCCCTACGCAGATGCAGGGCCGTCTTCTGCTTTCCCAGGCCATCAGCAGGGAGCTGGATCAGAAGTGGAGCAGCTGGGACTCGAACCAGTGCTGGAAGTGGCTTTACCTGTTATGCCATAGGGCCGGCCCCAAGAATTGTTTTTTCTAATTCTGTAAAGAATGTCATTGATATTTTGGTAGGGATTGCATTGAATCTATAGATTGTTTTAGGTAGTAGAGACTTTTTAATGATACTAATTCTTCCAATAAGCAAAGCATATTTCCATTTTTTGTATCCTTGATGATTTGTTTTGTTAATGTTCTATGATTTTCATTGTAGAGATATTTCATTTTAATTAAATTTATTCCTAATATTTGATTTTTTGTAGCTACTGTGAATGGAATTTCTTTTTCGATTCATCTTTCAGTGAGTTCGTTATTTGGGGTACACAAAAGCTAATTTTTTGTGTGTTTATTTTTGTAACCTGCAACTTGGTTTGTCAGTTCTAATAGCTTTTTGTTGGAGTGTTTAGTTTTTTCTTGTGCAACATCATGTCATCAACAAACTTAGATATGTTGACTTCCTCCTTTCCAATTTTGATGCCCTTTATTTCTTTCTGCTCCCTAATTGCTCTTGCTAATGCTTCCAAAGCTGTGTTGAATAAGAGTATATTGTTCCATATCTGAGAGGAAATGCTTTCAGCTTTTCCTCATCCAGTATGATATTGGGTGTTGGCTTCTCATATATAGCCTTTATAATTTTGAGGTATGTTCCTTCTATACCTAATGTGTTGAAGGGTATTTTTCTTTTATCATAAAGGGATATTGAATCTTATCAAATGCTTTCTCCACACCTATTGAGAATGTCCTATGTTTTTTGTGCTTTGTCCTGTTGCCGTGATTTAGCATATCCCTTTTTTCCTTTTTGTAGGAGGATACTTCATCGAGACTTGAAGTCAAAGAATATATTTCTGAAAAACAATCGACTTAAAATTGGTAACTTTTTTTTAAAAATATATATTCCAAAGACATAGAAGAATATATTCTTTTTTAAAAGATTTATTTATTTATTTACTTGAGTTACAGAGAGAAGGAGAGACAGAGAGAGACAGAGACAGAGACAGAGACAGAGAGAAAGAGAGAGAGAGGTCTTCCATCCACTGGTTCACTCCCCAGTTGGCTACAACAGCTGGAGCTGCGCCCATCTGAAGCCAGGAGCCAGAAGCTTCTTCCGGGTATCCCAGTTGGGTGCAGGGGCCCAAGGACTTGGGCCATCTTCTACTGATTTCCCAGGCCACAACAGAGAGCTGGATCGGAAGTAGAGCAGCTGGGATTCAAACTTGTGCTCATATGGGATGACGGCACTGCAGGCGGTGGCTTTACTCTCTATGCCACAGCGCTGGCCCCAAGAATATATTCTTGATGTTGTCATATCAAATTGAAGAACTGGGTACATGGAAGTGTTAGAGTAATCATTGGTTTATTTAAATTTCTCAAGCCTTGTTCAGACCTGTATGGGGCCAACAAAACCCAATTATTTTGTTTCTGATTATCTGATATAAATTGAAATATAAAATAGTTACTACATATATGGTAGATTTAATGAATATATTTTGGGTTCCAGCTTCATGTCACACACTTTGCAAGTGGTTAGACTTGCTTTATTGGCGTGGTGAAGTAAGTTTCCCACTTACTGTATCACATATAGTAAGCAATTATCATAATTAAAATATTGATATAATGGCTTTTAACCATTAGTTCTGAACTTGAAACAATTACTGAATTATCTAATCATCATATAGGATGTCCTTAGAGAGGGAAAGAATAATAGTATGCAACTAAAGGTGATGGATTCCAATTTTTTATAGTCGTATCTTTGAATCATTTCAGGTCTTTTTCTTTAAAAAATGTGTTTTCTTTTTAAATTAGGAACAAACTCTCCCCCTGCCCCATATAGAATTGCACATCATCATATTGAGCCATTCCAGAATCATTCTGTTTGCTGTTATTCAGACTTGAAATTGCTTTTTATATCAAATTGACTAGTTTTCCATATTGCAGAAATAAAGAATTTTAGCTTATGTAATTCACTTTCCTGGCTCAAAGTCTCCTTTCTCCTGGGGAGCCTATGGTTTTAAAGCTGTTTACTGGCATTGTGTAATTTAACATTTTACATTTCTTCCTCTTTAAAGTACTATGAAATATAGCATAACCAAATGGTCAAATTAGACATTTAAGCACTTGTTGATTTCCAGTGCTGATTTCTATTGTTTTAAAGTACTCACATAATTAATTATTATTTCAAGGGGATTTTGGAGTTTCTCGGCTTCTCGTGGGCTCCTGTGACCTGGCCACCACTCTCACTGGAACTCCCCATTACATGAGTCCTGAGGCTCTGAAACACCAAGGCTATGACACCAAGTCGGACATCTGGTGAGTGGGCAGGGGCTGGAGCAGGTGACTCCTTCATCTGCTGCCTGGACAGCTTGGTGTGTTTTGGTTTCCAGCCAGTTGACTTAATACATCCACTCAGTTTATCCATTTGACACATGAGTCATTCCACGGCTGGAGTAAGAAAAGGTCTTTTGGATTTGGAAATTGATGTAGTTCACCAAATTGATTTCAGAAATTCTCTTTTTTCATAAATTAATTGGTTGGTTTGGATTTTTAGTTCCTGAACCACAGGGGAAAGTTCCTAATGTCCCCATAGCATTAAATTTTGATGTATTTCTGCTACTCTACTAAATACAACATTTATAATGCTGAATGCTGTGCTGCATTTCATATTAAGGTTAATTTCCTTCTCTGTGGGGAATGTACACCTTTCCTACAGTTTTCTTATTACTTTTAAGAATTTTACTAGAGATATTAGCTTTAAAGATAAATTATATTAAAACTTTTCTGGATTTTGAGTGGTGGATGCATCTGTGATTTCTTAGTTTCTCTGAGTTCTTGTAACAAAGTTGTGTCCCCTTCCTTCTTATGGAACCAGTTTAAATCTCACTGCAGAGGCCTTGTGGAAAATTGTGTTCAATAGGCCAACTGTAAGCAATGGATACTATTTGGGGAATATTCACTTCCTTTGAAGAGGAATCTTACATAATTTTCAGCTTGTCAAAGGTTGAAAGGACACTCTATCTGAGAGCTTGTTAATTAAGTAAAGAATTATTTTATGCAAATCAGAGCAAGGAATTCTGAGCTTTCAAAGATGAGCAATGTGAGAGCTGTGCACACTTCATTCTTCTAAAGAAGACAAAGGAAATTGCCTGTCGTCTAGGTTAGAGAAAGATGAACCACCACAGGGCCTGTGACTTGGGACTTTTCCAAAGGGTCGTTACTTCTGTTCTTGTTCTGTTAAGATTGTCACTGTTAAGATTGGGCCCCACTGCTGCAGTTCCTCCAAGACCCCGTGACTGCTCACGTCCGCGTCCCTCGCTCGGGCTTCCCTTGTTAGCTTATCCCAGCCGTGGAGGTTGTTCCCAGTCAGCCTTCCCCCTCGTTACATCTCCCTGCCTCCAAAGAGAAGAAAAAGGAAACCCAGCCCAAGCCAACCCCAGACCACAGAGGAATGAATTCCTTTACAGTTTCACTTGAGTGAGCCTCTGTTATTTGTGACTGCAATGTCGCCTTTAGGGTATAAAAGCAAAAATGATAGGATTCCTGCCCCTCTGGAGAAGTCTTGCTCCCTTTGACTTCCCTTTCTCTGGTTTGAGGGCATCTGTCCTCCATCCTCAAAAGTTGAGCTTCAGATTAAGTTTCTTTTAAATACCTACATCTCTCTTCACATTTAATTTTTGAAATTATTTTTATGGACATCTAAAACACATTCAAGTATACAAGTATAATTTCTTCATGATTTAACATGGTATGTTGTCTTAAAAAAGATGCTGCATCATGTTATTTGATTAAGAGTAAGTTAAAGTGCTGTGGCATAGCGGGTAAAGCTGCTGCCTGCAGTGCCGGCATCCCGTATGGGCACCAGTTCAAGTTCTGGCTGCTCCGCTTCTGATCCAGCTCTCTGCTATGGCCTGGGAAAGCAGCAGAAGATGGCCCAAGTGCTTGGGCCCTGGCACCTGTGTGGGAGACCCAGAGGAAACTCCTGGCTCCTTGCTTTGGATCAGCACAGCTCCAGCCATTGCAGCTATATGGAGAGTGAACCAGTGGATGGAGGACCTCTCTCTCTGCCTCTCCTTCTCTCTGTGTATAACAACTCTGACTTTCAAATAAATAAACAAATCTTAAAAAAAAAAAAAAAAGAGTAAGTTAATTGGGCCCAGGGTTGTGGTACAGTGGGTTAAGCCACTGCATGTAGTGCTGGCATCTCATATGTGCACTGATTCGGGTCCCATCTGCTCTGCTTCCCACCCAGCTCCCCTAAAGCACCTGGGAAAGTAGCAGAGAATGGCCTTGCTACTGACATGGGCAATCCAGATGGAGGCTTTGGCCTGGCCTAACCCTGACACTTGTGGCCATTTGGGGAGTGAACTAGGGGATGGAAGATTTCTCTCTCTCTCTCTCTCTCTCTCTCTCTCTCTCTCCCTCCCTCCCTCCCTCCCTCCCTTTCTCTCTCTAACCCTATCTTTCAAATTAAATAAACAAAAATCTTCAAAAAAGAGTAAGTTAATTTATGAAGTCCAGCATTCAAATCTTTGGAGTTACATGGAACAGTGAGCCTGGCTTCTTTTCACAAGCCATCTACATCTGCTTGCCAAATCAGATGGATGTCTTTTTTAAAACTGAGGCAACAGAAGCCACAGAGAATAAAGCATAGAGTCTTTGTCTCTGTTTTGTCAGTGCTATTTTTTTAAAAAAAATCTTCCTGGTATTTAATAATGGATTAAAGGAATATCAGATAGTATTGATCTAATATTTTAGGTTACAAGAACATCTGACTCGAGAAAAACTTAAAAACAACCCAATCCTCTCAAATATGAAGATGCAGGAGGATTTTAATATATTTTCTGAACATTAGATCAGTGCTTTTCGCAATGATTATTAACTACTCAACAACTACAAGCTGAGAATTCATCATCGTCCTTACCTCAAATAATCACCTTATTATGAATTTAGCAATTACCTTGGTTATATCTCAGTCAAAACGTGCTTATCTGGTAATGAAATTTCTATTGCCAAACCTGAAGTGGAAAGAATAATAGACCTATTAATTATAGTGGCAGATACATACACGTGATGAGTCATCTTTGGGAGACAGTCTGGAAAATTAAATCTGTCTCTGAATTGTAGTGTGTAGCATCTGTTTATTGTGGAATATTTTCTTAGGATTGGAAACACTTATGAATAATTGATGGGCATTTTGCTTTAGCGCTAATAGTTGTACATATTATATTCATAGTCATTAAAGTATAGCTGGCCTAATGCCAGTTATATTTTCATCCATTAATATTTCCCACATATAACCTTATCCTCCTTCTGCAACCTGTTAAACCCTTCCGGATTCAATTATTTATAACATTCAGGTACAGAAAGTACCTGTCTTAAAAGTGGGTTAGGTTCCTGAAGTTTACACACAGTTATTTGGGAAGTTAGGCTAATTAGGTTCATCGACAACAGTGCCCTGGAACACTGCTGATTTGTATAAGCAATTACTGACTACTGTTTCTCCCACAGGAGAAATATAAATATGAATTGAATTCCTAGGCCAGGTCTGTACATTTATTTATTTAAACTAGGAATAGTTAGAAAATATTACTTTGGTAGAAGAAAGAAATAAAGGACAATTGTATGGTAATAATAATGCTATAATTAAGCAAAAAGGAAACAGAATATTTCCTTATTGGTATTATTTATCTTGTTGTGAAAAGTCAACCAAATAGCTCTTTGACTTCAGTGGGTGGAATTGCGGTGGAAATCGTGGGGGATCAGAGAGACTGTGAGGCTCGCAGCGTCTTGCTCAGAGATTCAGGGTGGAGTTTGTGCAGGGAACCCTTGTTCATGCCCGATACTAGAGTCAGGCTTCACTGATCTTGGGAAGAAGTGTCAGACAAGGCGGAACTGCAGGTCAGGAGAGGAAAGCAGCACCTGCCTGGCCTGCCAGGACCAAGGTGTCCTCGGAGGACATTTCAAGGGTGGATGGGGACAAGGAACAGTAGGAAGAACAGGCTATTCTCTGGTGGAGGGCTCTGGAGAAGGGGAAATACAGGCCATTCCGGCAGCAGTTTCTATGGCTGAAACGGGACCTCTCGGAGCGGACAGCCAACAACCTCTCTTGCTGCCTGTTGATGAAGGAAGCTGTGAGCCAGAGAGCCCATTCTCTCACGTGTCCATGGCCTGGGCAGTTCTTAGATGGGTTCAGAATCAAGATCTTAGACAGGGAGTGCATACCCAGGAGAAAGAAAGACACATCTGTGTAACTGCTTTCCACACAACAGAATCTGAGGGAGGAAAACACTAGAGTCAGGGGCAGTGGATTAGAGCATTTATTTATTTGTTTATAATGACCAACATGAAATGATTGATACAAGCTCTGTCGATAATACCAGCTGCCTGATGAATTTTCAAAGAGTTCATAATATTGCTAATAAATCCTTATTAAGTTGATATTAATGGTGATGAAAATAAATACAACTGCAGCAACAAAATAAGGACTAGCTACCGTTTTGTGGAATACTTACTCTGTGATTGACAGTTAATGTGATAAACATTTTATATACACTTACGTTATAAAAACTGATATTATATTATATACTAATTTATAAATTTTTTCCACTTAGCAAAATAGAACCTTGCTCTGCATTGACAAATATAATCGACATACCATTTAAATGTTCACATAGCATTCATTATATACTTGGGCAAATAATTATTCAAGCAAACTTTTAGTGTTTTCTTTGAAATCTTTATCTTTGACTTTGTCTTACCTCATTTTTACCCTGAGGTATCTGAGGTAAAAGAATTTGCATTTATCCTTCTTGAAGTTTGTAGAGCTTCTTGCATGTGTAAATAAAAATGTTTCATCAAGTTTTGGGAATTCTCAGTTATTTCTTGGAATAATGTTTCCCCCTTTCTCTCTGTCCCCTCCTCTGGGATGCCATTGTATGTAGATTGGCGTGCTTGTTGGTGTCCCACGTTTCCCCACTACTCTGTTCATTATTCACGTATTTTTGAGTCCATGGCTTCTCTGTTCTGTCGATTGATATCTGTTGATCTCCTATAGTTAATTTTTAATTTCCATTATTGTATTTGCATCTCCAAAATTTTTATTTGGTGCTTTTAAAGTGTAGTTGCTTTCTTTATTGACATTATCCATTTGACGTGATGTTTTAATTATACCTTTTAAACATGTTTTCTGTTAGTAATTTGAATATATCTATAATGGCAGCTTTGAAATCTTTGCCTGTTAAATTCAGGATCTAAAATCTACCAGCCATCCCAGGTGGTATCTGTTGCCTACTTTTTCGTTGAGTGGGGGTCAT